ATCAGAACTGGAGGTATGCAGTTGGGTGTGGAGATGAGTGGTAAGGATGCAGGAGACGCGAAGGAAGGCACGAGTCTTAATGTTCAGGACATTGATGCCTATTGGCTCCAGAGAAAGTTAGTCCAAGGATGTGAACAGCAGATTGATCCACAGGAATGCCAGGTACTCGCAGAAGAGCTGCTTAAGATACTTGCTGAGGGGAGTGATATGGATGTTGAGACCAAGCTCCTTGTGCACCTTCAGCATGAAAAGTTCAACCTTGTCAAATTTCTGCTGCAGAACCACCTCAAAATTGTGTGGTGCACCCGTTTGGCTAGGGCAAGAGACCAGGAAGAGAGAAATCAGATTGTGGAGAAGATGATGGGGTTGGGTCCAGAGTTGGCAGCAATTGTGGAGGAGTTGCATGCAAAAAGAGCAACAGCTAAAGAAAGGGAGGAGAACCGGGAGAAAAATATTAAAGAAGAAGCCCGACGTCTTAATGATGATTCTGGTGGAAGCAGGAGAGATGTTGATGATAGAGATTTCGAGAATGGTTGGATGAAGGGTCAGCGTCAGATGCTGGAGCTGGAGAGCCTCGCTTTTGACCAAGGTGGTTTCCTGAGGGAGAATAAGAAGTGTATGCTTCTCCCTAATTCTTACAGAATTCCTGGCAAGGACGTTGAAGAGGTTCATGTGCCTTGGGTTTCTAAAAAGTTTGATAGTAATGAAAAGCTTGTGAAAATCAGTGATATGCCAGAATGGGCCCAACCGGCTTTTAAGGGAATGCAGCAGTTAAACAGGGTTCAGAGCAAACTGTATGACACTGCACTGTTTAAAGCAGAGAACATTCTTCTTTGTGCTCCAACTGGTGCGGGGAAGACCAATGTTGCTGTGCTCACCATTCTGCAGCAACTTGAATTGAATAAGAACACAGATGGGACGTATAATCATGGGAATTACAAGATTGTCTATGTTGCACCCATGAAAGCACTTGTTGCTGAGGTCGTCGATAATTTCTCTAAACGGTTGAAGGATTATGGAGTTACTGTGAAGGAACTCAGTGGGGATCAGTCCCTTACTCGGCAAGAAATTGAAGAGACTCAGATTATTGTTACAACTCCAGAGAAGTGGGATATCATCACTAGGAAATCTGGAGATCGCACTTATACTCAGCTTGTGAGGCTTCTTATAATTGACGAAATTCATCTTCTTCATGATAATCGAGGGCCTGTGCTCGAAAGTATCGTCGCTAGGACTCTTAGGCAGATCGAAACCACAAACGAGCATATTCGTTTGGTAGGTTTATCGGCGACACTGCCGAATTATGAAGATGTGGCCTTATTTTTGCGGGTGAATATTAACAATGGGTTGTTTACATTTGACCGCAGCTACAGACCCGTGCCTCTAGCTCAGCAGTATATTGGTGTTAATGTGAAAAAACCATTGAAGAGGTTTCAGTTGATGAATGATATATGTTATCAGAAGGTATTGGCTGGTGCTGGAAAACACCAGGTCCTTATTTTTGTCCATTCAAGGAAGGAAACAGCAAAAACTGCAAGAGCAATACGAGACACCGCAATGGCAAACGATACCCTCAGCAGATTCTTGAAGGAAGATGGTGAAAGTCGTGAAATTCTTCAGAGTCAGATTGAACTTGTCAAGAGTAAGGACCTGAAAGATCTTCTGCCTTATGGCTTTGCAATTCATCATGCTGGGTTGACAAGGGTTGATCGTCAAATAGTTGAGGATCTCTTTCGTTCTGGGTATGTGCAAGTCTTGATTTCCACGGCAACTCTGGCATGGGGTGTGAACTTGCCTGCACATACTGTCATTATCAAAGGAACCCAAGTCTATAATCCTGAGAGAGGGGCGTGGATGGAGCTGAGTCCTCAAGATGTTATGCAGATGATAGGCCGTGCCGGAAGACCGCAATATGACCAACATGGGGAGGGAATTATAATCACGGGCTTCAGCGAGCTGCAGTATTATCTTTGTTTGATGAATGAGCAACTGCCTATTGAAAGCCAGTTTATTTCCAAACTTGCTGATCAGCTTAATGCTGAAATAGTGCTTGGAACCGTTCAGAATGCTAGAGAAGCTTGCCACTGGCTTGGCTATACATATTTATATATCCGCATGCTTCGTAATCCGACGCTGTATGGCTTATCACCTGATGCCGTTACAAAAGATATAGTATTGGAGGAGAGAAGAGCTGACCTGATACATTCTGCTGCTACTATCTTGGACAAGAACAACCTGATTAAGTATGACAGGAAAAGTGGATACTTTCAGGTTACTGATTTGGGACGCATTGCTAGCTATTACTACATAACCCATGGGACAATAGCTACATACAATGAGAATTTGAAGCCAATGATGAGTGATATAGAGCTTTATCGTCTGTTCTCACTGAGTGAGGAGTTCAAGTATGTCACTGTTCGACAAGATGAGAAGATGGAACTGGCAAAACTTTTGGATCGTGTCCCCATTCCGGTCAAGGAAACAGTGGAAGAACCTAGTGCAAAGATTAATGTTTTGCTGCAGGCATATATTTCAAAGCTAAAGCTTGAGGGTCTTTCTTTGACATCGGACATGGTTTATATTACTCAGAGTGCTGGACGTCTTCTACGAGCTCTTTTTGAGATTATATTGAAGAGGGGATGGGCGCAACTTGCTGAGAAAGCTCTGAAGTTGTCTAAAATGGTAGGGAAGAGGATGTGGAGTGTTCAGACACCCCTTCGACAGTTTCATGGAATTCCCAGTAAGATTTTGATGAATTTGGAGAAGAAGGATTTGGTGTGGGAGAGGTACTATGATTTAACTTCACAGGAGCTAGGAGAACTTATTCTTGATCCTAAGATGGGCAGATCACTTCACAAAATCATCCACCAGTTCCCAAAACTGAAGCTTGCAGCTCATGTTCAGCCGATTTCTCGTTCTGTTCTGCAGGTGGAGCTCACTGTTACACCTGATTTCCTGTGGGATGACAAAGTACATAAATATGTTGAACCGTTTTGGATAATAGTGGAAGACAATGATGGTGAAAAGATTGTTCATCACGAGTACTTTCTTTTGAAAAAGCAGTATATTGATGAGGATCACACGTTGAACTTCACTGTGCCAATCTCTGAGCCTCTGCCACTGCCACCACAGTATTTCATCCGAGTGGTTTCAGACAAATGGCTCGACTCGTCGACT